TTGACTGCAAATGAGATTTAACTCATTGATGCAACATAGACAATGCTATTGGCATGAACTAAAGAGATCTCATTCCACCCATTATATCAAGGGATTAAGGCCAGATTGTGCCATCCTTATGTTACCCCTCTTGACATGAGCAGTTGACCAATATTCAGGGTCTTGCAGGTTGTTTCCATCATGGGAAGAAATTGATGATGGGAGGTAGGTATTTCTTTGGTGCAGTCCTGTTTATTTACAAAAAATGTACACACAGTCCTGTTTCTGTGAACACAGTGGGAATCAAACAGTAGGAAACAGTTTCTTTGCTCCCTGTTTCAAGCCTCTTTTTCCAGACAGTATATAACAGTGGCAGAAAATGGCCCTAAATAAATACAGAATAGAGATGGTTGACTACCAACTGTCAGGATTTATCCACAGATAATATATTACATTTTTAGTACTTTCCCGAAAGTACCCTTTTTAAGCGCCACTGTTACAAGGAATGACAGTGGAAAATATATCATTGACTTGACTTGTAGGTTAAGGTGGTGATCAAAGATTCAGCCTGTTCTGTTCAGGTTCTTATATCATACCCACCAATATGTTATCGAAGTGCCTATGTCCATCAGATACTTGAAGGCATCTGAATTTTCATAGAGGATATCTGTAGCATATATATAAATGCTAATTTATGGGCAGAATTCTGAGCACCTTCTAATTTCTAAGCTAGTTCTTGTGCTAGTTCTTGTACAGTTCCAAACCTTCACATATCTGTCTTTAGGGCTTGATCCAAAGCCCACTGAAGTCAATGGAAATATATCCTTTGACTTTAATGGGCTTTGGATCAGGCTCTTGATGATTTGCATAGGCACTCCACAGGACCAGTATGAAACCAGTGTAAACTGGCTCGGAGCAGTACAGGCCAGTTAACATAGGACATATAATAAATTGTCAGAATAAATACTCGTTTCACTTCCTAGTGTAAACTTCAATAATGTATGATGCAATCTAATATGGTTACAAAAGTGATTATGAATCAAGTGTAACAGAGAATAGAGCATTTCATATAATTCAAGAATATCTATTTAGCTTTACATTATGTTAAGCCTTAGAACACATAGATTTAGGTAATTGATGTGGCGAAAACATTTGTTCTACCATAAGCCAAACATTATGATGCTGTAAAATGGCCATACTGTAAGATATCCCTTAATCTGTTTTGAGGTGCAAACAATATAGGGCTGGACCAGCGGTTCTCAAACTTCATTGCATCATGACCCCTTTCTGACAACAAAAATTACTACACAACCCCAGGAGGGGGGACTGAAGACTGAGCCTGCTCAAGCCCTACTGCCCAAGCCCCGCCACCCCGGCGGGGGGCCGAAGCTGAAGCCCAAGGCTTTTCTGTCCTGGGCAGGGGGGCTTGGGCTTCAGACTTGCTGGGGTCCAGGGCCAACGCCACACTTGGTGATCCCACAGTTTGGGGTCCCGACCCACAGTTTGAGAACCCCTGGGCTAGACCCATCAGTCTGGACAAGTGACTCTTTATGTTCTCCCATTATTCGGGCAAACCAGGGACCAAGGTGGTCCCCAGCATAAGTTAGTGTTGCTTTGCAGCCCTACACAACCAGAGGATTCCTCCAGGTAAGGGCAAGCCCCAGAGGGGCCAGATTTATTTGCTGTGTGGCTGCTTTAGACCACCAGAGTGATGCAAAGAAGCAGAGGTGTAGCATGCGCCCTCCGTACCCTCCGACCAGAGGGGGCCCCGCAAGGAAGGGGGCCCCTAAAAGTGGCAAAATAAATACCGCATTCCAGTTTCTGCATTGTAAGGGGCCTCACCCGGACATATGTTCGGAGGGGGCCACGTTCTTTGTTGCTACGGCCCTGCAAAGAAGCTGGAGCTGCCCCCAAAGTCTCTCCATTATGCTGGATTTCACTCTGCTGACATACACCATCTGCTCTATTTTCTCCAATCATCCTACACTTTACCATTTGAGTTAGAATTATATTAAAATGTCAGCTGGGTGAATCGGTTGGACTATAATGTATGATATTCTTTATTTAGCTGTTAGTTGCCTGGTCATTCATTAAAATGGAAAGATCTAAAGTGACAGAACTTGGTATTCTATTTTGCAACATCTAGCCAGCCAAGTATAGCTAGCATAGAAAAGGAAGTATTCAAATTATAACCAAGGGAGCAGAATGGAGAGAGGGGAGCTTCCTGACCTCTAAAATGGTTACATGCCTCCCAGTGCTGATATTCAGGATGAGCAGATTTCCTCCCCTGTGGCATGTCACTTTGTCATCCCTTAGTAATGTTCCCTTTCCTGGTCTCTCGGGTACATAGAGAAAGATACACCTGCCTGAATATCATTAAATTGACTTGTAAAAATATGGCTACATTTAAAATGGCTGTACAAAATACCCCTTAAGGGAAATGCATGATGGATAAAAAGGAGCAAGCTGTGCATGCAATACAATGATATTCCAGGCATGTAAGCAAAGCCTCATTGTGACCTGATAATCATATTGATTCAGATCCTCCAAGGTATTTAGGCATCTAATTCCTATCGAGGTCAAAGGGAGTTAGATGCCTAAATACCTCTGAAGATCTTGACCATTGTCATGTGCTTCTATCATATATATTCATTAGTTAATGTTTGTATTTGCATCAATTACAATTGATTAATTCATAATCAATTGCAATTACAGCTACCTTAATTCACCACTTCTAACATACTTTGAGATCGGAATTTCTAAAGGGAGCATTTTTAAATAGGTCCTCAGCAAACATTAGTAAATATTTTATTTGAAACGTATCCTCTGAAGCGTTATTGAGGTGGATTTGAAGACTAAAATCCAACTATTGTAGTGTGAAAAAAAGGGAGTCTGGTCCTGCTTTCAGAGCTTTTCTAAACACAGCCTAACTACCAATGCTCTTTTCATTTCCTGAAAAGAATAACTCTGGAGTAGGACTATCAGAGTCTTATATTGTCACTCATTGCTGTAGTACATGAGTGCCAATATCTTATACCAACACATTACTCATTATAATTTGATGATTAGCATCTTTTAAAGCTGTTTTGCATCCTTTAAATACTGTGTGCTAAATATACAGTCAGAGACACATAAATGTGCATTTGAGAAGTTAAGGAATATGAATGTACCTTGAATGCATAAGCCAGAGTCCTGACAAACTTTGTAGCACAATATGACCACTGTCCTACCCCCATCACTGGTATGAATTGAGACATTTTGAAGTTAACAGAACAAAACTGGTAGCTTTTGGTATTAAAACATGGACGTTTTTCTATTTACAGTACATTGGGGAAATCTACAATGATCAGTGGGTCATATGCTCACCTGTATGAGGTCAAGTAACAGAGGGGTAGCCGTGTTAGTCTGAATCTGTAAAAAGCAACAGAGGGTCCTTGCGTCTGATGAAGTGGGCATTCATTCACCCACGAAAGCTTATGCTCCAATACTTCTGTTAGTCTTAAAGGTGCCTCTGTTGCTGTATGAGGTGTTGCTTTAGGCTCTGAAAGCACTTAAACATGTGCATCACTTTAAGTATCTGAGTACTTCTCATGTTGGATACATTCAGTAAGAGCCTGAGTTTCATTGAATGTCAATGGGACTTAGGCTCCTAAGGCCCAGATCCTCAAAAGTATTTCGGCTCCTAACTTCCATTGAGGAAACCCCTTTGAGGAGCTGGGCCTAAGTGCCTAAGTTGCTTTTGGAAACGGTTGCTAAATCACTTAAGCATTTTTGAAAATTTTCCACTAGTGCCTGGTGGGCTTTAATATAAACCACGCAAAACTCACCATTCCACTAAAAGTGGTTTCTTTTGTCTGAGGTTTTTTCCTTAAATGAGTTTCTTTATTTATATATTTATGCATATGTGGGTATAAGATGGTGAAATGGGGTTTACACAGCTTGGAGATTCCCCATCAGAATGAAGAGCAGCTGTAAATGAAACGCCACAAAAGCATAAGGTGCTAACTGGTGGACAGTATTCACTTCAAAGGGCTGTCCTTGGTTCATTTTATCTAGGTCTGTATTTGACCTCTATTTTCGTTCAGGTATTTAGGCAGGCAAACCTCTTTCCCAAGGAAAGGGAGCACAGTGCGTTATACCCATCAGGATGACAACAAGGGTTAGGACAGGGGTCGGCAACCTTTCAGAAGTGATGTGCCAAGTCTTCATTTATTCACTCTAATTTAAGGTTTTGCATGTCAGTAGTAGATTTTAAAGTTTTTAGAAGGTCTCTTTCTATAAGTCTATAATATATAATTAAACTATTGTTGTATGTAAAGTAAATAAGGTTTTTAAAATGTTTAAGAAGCGTCATTTAACATTAAATTAAAATGCAGAGCCCCCCGGACTGGTGGCCAGGACCCGGGCAGCGTGAGTGCCACTGAAAATCAGCTCGCGTGCCGCCTTTGGCACCCGTGCCATAGGTTGCCTACCCCTGGGTTAGGATAATCTCTCCCCCTTCTCCCCCCAGCTCTCATTGCAGTATGATCTGAGGGGAGGAATCCTATGGGAATACTGCCCCCCGCCCCTCTCTTAGCGCTCTCCGGGCAGGTCAGTAGGGATAGCTGACTCATACCTACCCAAACCCAGCCCTACATAACCCACTGTCAGGCTGGCTGAGAAATGCGCAGTAAGCCCACATAGACCTGGGCTGAGGTCACCTACTAATGGGTAGAGAATCTCCAGACAATAATCCCCCCCCCCAGCCCAGGGCTTCCCCACCAACCCCTTCTGCCCATGTCAAATTATGCAGCCCGGGAGCTGTCTAGATACCCGGGTACCTGGCACCAGATCAACTCGTCGTCATAGATTAACTGGGATAGGCACTCACGGGGGCTACCTGCGGGGCTGGTGATTCGTGCTGCGCAGCTACTCTGTGCATTGCGGTAGGGCTGGAAGGACCAGAGCCCCATTCAACCAGCTGCAGCCATTGCACATCCCAGCATCACCCACATTCAACAGGCGGACAAGGCTGAGCGCAGCCCCCTCCACCGCCGCAGCTTTGCAGCCCGCCAGCCCAGCGCCATGGCCAAGGAAGGCGCGGAGAAAGCGGACGAGACGGAGCAGATGATCGAGAAGGAGGGAGGCAAGGAAGCTGCCGAGGGCAGCGGCGGCGGCAGCAGCAGCCTGCGGGCAGGGGACACCAAGGAGATGCGAGCCGTGCTGCTGTCTGGCTTCGGGGGGCTCAACAAGCTCAGGGTGTCCAAGAAAGTCATGCCGGAGCCTCAGGAAGGGGAGCTCAAAATCCGAGTCAAAGCCTGGTCCAGTATCGCCTCTCTCTGCCTCTCCCCATCCCTCCCCGCCCTCCATAGGCAGCAGCGGCACCCCCCACCCCACATCCCCTCGGCAGCATCTTGTGATCGTGATTGTTGCATTTGTGCCTGGGGCGGGCGTGGGACCGTGTCAGGTTCAGGAAGGCAGGAGAGGGAGAAGGCTCTGTCCTTGTACTGCATGGGGCAGGGAAAGGGCATGGGGTCAAAGAGAGGGAAATAACCACCCCGCCCTCTTGCCCGGGAACAGGGTTCAATGGGCATTTCCATATGTTCTTTACAGCCACTTTTATTCTAAATCCCTCTCCCTCCCCTTCGCTCTGACAGTCTCAGGGAGCCTCTAGCAGCAGAGCATCCTGTAACTTGACATGCATGTCTGTGTATGTTTCTGGGGATTGATTTCTGCATTGTGAAGCACTCGTTTCCCTGCCCCTTTGAGCTCCTGTTGGAGAAGACAGGCAGCAAATGGGAATCCACCTCGGTGCTTGCTATTAAACTGGTTACCCCTCCCCCAGGCCTGTGACTTTGCAGTGTTTAGTGTAGCAGATTTTTGTGCTGACCCTGTATCTGTAAAGTTTAGCTTCAGGTGTTACTATTTTGCAGGCTGTCCTAAGTTTCCCTTTGTCAGAAATTGCAAATTGGAGCTCTCTGTGGGTGTTTGATTTGGTTTCTCTCCCCATCTGAAGTCAAAAGGCAGTTAATTATTTCATTAACTTCCCTCGTTCACCATTTTCTCTCAACCCCACTTCTGAGCTGCTTTGGCAGTTTCTCTCTCCCATTGCAGGTCATCTTTCCCATATCTCTCTCTAACTTCAGTAGCTTACATTTTATTTTCATTTGATAGCTCCAGAGAGCAAATCTATACTGAGAACAGTTCGTACCAAAATATATTTTCTCTAGACAAGCCAAGGATAAAGGCAAAGTCATGGGTGTTTGTGCTGCAAGCGGTTGTTCTTTCACTTCTAATGCCAAAAAAAGAGAATAATATTGCTTTTAATGTCTGAGTTTTTCAGAGCTGATTGGAAGAATTGGGAATATTCGGCCAGCTACGTTGGGGTTTGTTTTTTATCTGAGAAATGTTGGTGTACCGCTGATTGGTTGCTATACTGCTGAGTAGCATGACCTTTCCTTTTGATACTTGCCATTATTTTTCCTCACTAGACAATACCATTGCCTTTTTTTTTTCTTCAAGCTTCTCTTTGAGCACTGGCAACAGATCAAAACAACTTCCCCCCTCTCCCCCGCCCCTAAAGTTCTTGTGAGGAATTGGTGGGTGGTTAGTGACCAGTCAGGATCTAGAAATGTTTGGTCCAAGCCTTCCTGTTAAGAACAGTTTTTCAGACAATCTAAGCTGGATTTTTTTGTTCTTAAGTCTCATATTTATAACTAATAGAGGCCAAAACCTAGAATCTGTCTGTGTACAGAACTTCCTTGAAGTCATGGATTTTTCAGGCCAGAAGGACCATTATGATCATCTAGTCTGATTTCCTGCATAACAAAGGCCAAAGAATTTTTCTAGATGTCATTGGGAGTTAGGTCCTCTGTGCACACAATCTGAAGAGTAAAGCACTGTGATCACAAAGCGGTAATCTGCTGCTATGTAAATGCTTTGGCATTTGTGGAAAATAAATGTGAAGGTGAAGGCTGAGCTGTTTATTTTAGAAGCAATCAACACTGAAAGTGACACTGGTTTATGGCAATGACTTTGTTTTATCAGTGTATCCAAAGGGTATCACTGAACCTGCTGTGTTCTGATAGGTTTGCAAAACAGACACATTGACTGTAGATCTAGTCAGTCAGACACTGGCTTTTCCATATTGTATTTTTGTGAATCAGCTGGTCTATTCCTGATGAGAGTATATTTTCCTCCTCACTTGCATCAGTGAATTATGGTCAGCTATCCAGCAACCTGAATGATTAATATAGATGCAGGACAGGATTTTGCCTCCTTTTTTTTTTTTTTTTTTAAAGTGTCTTGCAGCTTATGGGCACTATGGGAAATAAATGAAAACCAGTCCATGCTGACTATATTGAATATAGTGAAACCTGCTTGGTGGTTTATGTCTGTAAAATCAGGGTTTGGTTAATATTGATCAGAGCTGTAATGTCTTTTCACTGGGGGTTTTTTCAATCATTAAATATTTAAAAGTTAACATTTGTAATTTTGAATGTGGTGTGTGTCTGTGTTCCTTTTAAAATGCCTAAGTGATTGACAGGACTTACTTCCATGTATGCACATGAATTTCCTCTTCATCAAGACTGCAGACCTCTATGTGTTACAAATAACAGTAGTTAGCTGTGTAGTGAATACTTAGCTGTAAAATAATACTTAGCTTTTCAATAGACTCTAAGTGTTTTGTTACTGTTAATAAACTGTTGGAGGTGTACACCCACTGTTTTTGTATCAGTGGAGCCTCTCAAGTAAACTACTACTTTGTAGTTATGCTTGGATCACTTATTACGCTATATATTTTTGAAGCTGTAGCACAGTTGAAGGTGGAGGAACATGCAGATTGGTGAAAGGCCATGTAGCCTACCATAGCCAATGTCTGTTCTCAGCTGGAAGCGGGCAGAAGGGGTGAGATCAAGGGGCCAAAACTTGTTTTGAGCAACTAATGGGAAGGGATTAGGTCATTGACCCTTGTGTTTGCAGCTGGTAAAGAGAGAAAAGGGAGTAGAAATGGTGCTGGTTGCATGGGTTTGGTTAGGAGATTGGTTGAGGAAATGATGAAAATGCCTGTTGTGGCCAGTGGAGCATGCTCTTTATAATATATAAGATGCAGAATGCATCGAGGATGAGCTTTTCTAGCATTGCCTACTCTGAGTAGTACATTTAATTATGTCAATGTAAAGATAGCTGCCTCAAGCAAATGGGATTTTAAAGATGGGATTTGGGGGGCGTGGGGGAAGAATCAAACCAACCATACAGCTTTTGCTAAATATTAGTTAGAAAACCTAATAAGAGGCACAAGTACCTGTACAGTCTGTACATACTCATTGCAGGAATGAAGACAGTTAAATGTTACCTTCCTGTTTCAGAGTACTATAAATAGGAGAAACTTGGGACCCACTGTAGTGTTGCTATTAATGCTAAGCCAGATGAATAACTTTTTTCTTTGAAGTCCTGAAATATCAATGATTTGCCTGAAAGTTTCTTTCCTTTGTGATGAGTCATACGTTAGCCTCATTCAGTGACTAAGAGATGGAGCAATAGTCAGTGCCCAAGCTGAATCACAGCTTTTGCATATTCCCTATAATTATTTCTTGATTGGTAATGATGGAGCAGCTCGGCACTGCTATTGTTTATTTTGTCTGTGTCTAACAAAATGCCTGAGTTCATACTGTTTTCAAGATCAGATAAACAGCTAGAACAAACCTACCCCAAATACAGCAGTGAGCGGAAGACAGGTAATGATCTCATATAATTGCCTCCCTTTATTTATTTTTCATCTTGATATGGTAGCTGTTGCTGCTGCTCCTCATGATGCATATGCGTAGATGGGGGGCAGGGGTGACCCTTTTTGCCTTCTTGGCATTTGTGAAAGAACAGAGCTGTCTCCTAAATTAGAAGCAAGTAAAACAAATCCCACGTGTAACAGAGTGGCACATAGTGTCAAATGTACTCTTAAAGATAGTCTTATTCATATTTCATGTGTTTCTCTAAATAAAAGGAAAGTATGAGCTCTCCTCTTAAAAAAAGAAATTGAGAGATTTCATGTTTTCAGGAGTCACTTTAGATCAGTGGTGGGCAACCTGCGCATGCAGCCCATCAGGGTAATCTTCTGGCGCGCCACGAGACAGTGTTTACATTGATCGTCCGCAGGCATGGCCGCCTGCAGCTCCCAGTGGCTGTGGTTCACCGTTCCCGGCCAATGGGAGCTGTGGGAAGTGGCAGCCAGCACGTCCGTGCAGCCCGCGGCGCTTCCCACAGCTCCCAGTGGCTGGGAACAGTGAACCGCAGTCACTGGGAGCTGCGGGCAGCCGTGCCTGCAGACCGTCAATGTATATACACTGTCTCGCGGCCTGCCAGCGGATTACCCTGACGGGCCGCAGGTTGCCCACCACTGTTTTAGATAATTCAGGCAAAGGGAGGAGGAATACTTTTAGGAATATGGGTCCAGGTCCTCAAAGATATTTAGGCTACTAATGTCAATTGATTTCAGTGTAAGTTAGGAACCCTACATATCTTTGAGGATCTGGGCCACAGGGCCTGACTGTCTCCTTACTTGCTCTGATATAAACCCAGTGAGTTCAATGGGGTTACTCCTGAGTTACACCAGAGTAAGCAAGAAAATCAGATCCATTACATAGTACCAGCCCAACTTGGGACATAGAGGGCACCCTGCAGCATTGGCATTGTGTTTAGATAGGGGCCAGGGACTGAGCAATTCAGAGTCCTGGAGTGGGCAGCCCTGCACTGGATGGGGAAGAGTAAAGAAAACATATTTTATCTCCACCCCCAGACCTGCAGAGATTGTCAGGGAAAAGTAATACAGCCACTCTCCATGTTAGGGAGCCGAGAAATGCCACACTCCTACTGAGTAGTAGACGAAGGTGGAGCCTCAGAGCAGTTGCAGTGGCACTTGGTTAAGAATTCAGATACACCACTGACTCTGTATTGGGCAAACCCCTGCCCAATGACAGAACAATCAAGGGGGGGGGTGATTTAGCCCATAAAGTTCAGCTTATTTGACATGCTTATTAATATCGCTGCTATTTCACAGGCTAGTCCCGGCAGAACCCCTGCCTGAATACTCTGTTCCTGGGGAGTAGGTACTTGTCATTCTATGCCTTCTTTCTCAGACTCCAATTGCATCCAAACTTTGACTTAAAATGAAAACTACAGTTAGAACAGAACCGAACTCTGCCCACTTCCCTACTGCGTTACCTACAGTCCACCCTCTATTAACTCCTGCATATTTCTTAAGCCAAAGTCAGAAGTCTTGTCCTTCCGTCAGGACCCCAGAGCTAGCTATTCTGTAAAGCAATCA